GCGACGCGCGCGCGAGCAAAAGGCCAAAAGGAAGAGGAGGCCGCGGGGGGGGCGGGGGGGGGGGGGGGGGGGGGGGCCTGGGCGTGAGGTGCAATATGTTCGGGGCAATGTCCTCGGCAATTGGCCAGGCCCGCCTTGACAGTCCCATTCGACAGACATTGGCGAAGGCAAGAAGGCGGAGAACCCGGCGCAAGCCACCCAGCGACCAAGCTAACGCCGATCACAGTGGCGCACATGATTGTCAGGTCCGGGCCCACCGGTGCCGGCCTCGGCGCCTCTCGCCGGGCGGGGTTCCCTGCAGTTATTCGCCTTGCTTCGTGCGGCGTTCCTGACGGCTCCCCGAGAAGCGTGTACATGCAAGCGGCCCCGCCCCGTCCGCTGGCCCCCCCCCCCCCCCCCCGCGCCCCCGGCTTCGAGAGTCGCAACCACCCGTCTGGAGGTCAGCCCACAGACAATCAGCAGCGACAAGCAGATCTATTGTTGCGAGAGTCGCATATGCAAGAAAGGAGCGGGGAAAGGAGAAAGTGAAGGACAGGCGCGCGAGGCGCCCGGAGGGCGCCATTGCCGGAGGAAGGGGAAAATAACAAGAAGGCCCCCTGCGAGGCAGGGGAGGCAAAGAAGAATAGAGATCATGCAGGCGGGAAAGAGGTAGGGAGGGGGGGGGAGAGGAGGAAGGATCGATGTGGCAACGCGGAAGGGGGAGGGGAGGGGAGCATGGGCTCAGGCCCCAGGAACCGGCGGGCAAAACAAGCACCGGCACGAAGAGGCGGGCTCTAAGGCGACCACGAGAACAGAAGGAAAGGGGGAGGAGGACGGAGATCCTGCACGAAACTGGGGCAGACAATCGTCCGTGCTCTTTCTGCATGCTCGCCCCTGAAGGGCAGCGGCCCACAGCCAGGGGAAACAGCGGGGTTGATGGGGGGGGGGGGGGGGGGGGGGGGGGCGTGGGGGGGGGGGGGGGGGGCAGGGGAAGCACAGGGAGCCACTTCACCCCATGACATCCACTTCGATGTCACTGTCATCGGTGTCGCCATCCAGGTCCAGGGCCCCGGTAGGCTGCTCCATGCTGGAGGATGTGAGGGGCTCATAGGCGGAGGTACCGGCAACACCGTGCACCAGAAGCACGGCGCTCCCCTCGGCGTGCGGATGGTGACCGGCCGCCGCGACCAGATCCGTGGAATAATGCCCGTCAAAGGGATGGCCGCCTCCGGCGCCGCCCTTGCCAACTTCCAGCGAGTAGCCCCCCCGTCTGGCGGAGGAGAAGGCACCCTTCAAGGGGTCACCGGCTGATGAGGCCCCATCCTCCCCCTCATGGGTTTCGCCCTCCTCACCATCACCGTCCTCCTCTTCGGGATCGGTCTCACCGTCATGGAGGTGGTGGTGGTGGTGATGGAGCCGGCGCCGGTCGCCAATCCCATTGGCACCGGCACTCCCGGGCAGGTAGCCGAGGGCGGGGAGATCACCGCCGAGGTCGGTGGGCACACCGGCCAGCATGTGGCCGGAAGAGGCGAGCAACGTGTGACCGGTGGCCGCACCGTCGCCATTGACGTGGTGCTCCGCGAAGCCGGCCAACGACCGGACATCGATGGAACCGCGGCGGCGCGAGTTGGCGGTCACGCCGCCGGCCGCGGCCGCGGCCGCGGCCGCCGCCAAGGCAGCCGCCCGGCCGCCACCCGGCTTCCCGGCAGCAAGTCGCCGGCCGCCGGCCCCCAGTCGGGCCTTCTTGGCCCCGGGGCGCCCGCCACGGGCCGGGCCCTCGTCAAAGGCACCGCCCTCGGCCGCCGGCCCGGGCGAGGGGCTACCACTGCCGAGGTGTGAGCCGGTCCCCGGCTCCGGGGTCGTGCCGCTGGGGGAGGCGCCACACACCGGCGAGGGAGCCCGCGACCCGCCGAGGCCCGAAAGGAGCGACGGGTCGACAGCCCGATCCTGGGCCGGCCCGGTGAAGGGGCCGTCACCATAACCGACGTTGGTGGCCCCGGCGAAGGCTACCGCCACCAGGTGATTGCTGCTGAGGCTGTCATGGCCGGCGCCGTCATGGAACTTGCCATCCTCGCCATCATGTCCGGCACCACCGTCGTCGGTGTCATTCTGCACGCGCAGTGGCAGCGGATGAAACGTTGTTAGTGCCGGGAAGGCCAAACAGAGAGCAGGGTCAGCCTCGAGAAAGCAAGAGAGAGAGAGAGAGAGACAGAGAGAAAGCAAGAGAGAGAGAGACAGAGAGAGACAGAGAGAAAGCAAGAGAGACAGAGAGACAGAGAGAAAGCAAGAGAGAAAGAGACCAGGAAGACATACATCACTGTCGCCATCACCGCCGTCCTGGTTTTTGAGGGCGCGGTTCAAATCACCAATGCGATTCCGGAGCTCATCATTGGCGCGACGGAACTGGATAGCCAGGCCACATGGGGCGAGTCAGTCGGGCAAAGAGGCCAGATGTCCAGCCAAGAATGGAGCACATGGGCAAGGGGGGAAGAACCGACGGCTCGACGTACCGAGGCCAATTGCTTGGTGAGGATTTCCTGCTCTGGCAGGCGGTCCTGCGGGGCCGGGACGATGGAGCTGGACCCGGAGGCGGGGGCCGGGGTTGCGGTAGATGCCGGCCCCGGGGAGGACCCATCTTCGCCATTGAGCGAGGTGTCGGTGTCCGCCGAATCGAGGCCATCCTCCGTGCCGCCGGTCCCCGGGGGCGGGGCCACATCCAACACCGGATCCTCCGGGGAGGTGACCGAAGAGGAGTGCATGCCGACCACCTCCGGCACGGGCCCGGACCCGGCGATGGCGGCGCGGACCTCCACATCGGCTCGACGAGCGGCCAACTCCAGCAGGGTGATGAACTCCTTGGCCTTGGTGAGGACCTGCACCGTGGAGGGCTTCTGATCGGCCAGGTTCGGGATCAAATCACGAAGCTGATGCACGATGGACTTCTGGGCCAGGCGCCGGCGACGCTCCAGCTCATTGTGGTTGGCGCGCTTCTTGCGGGCCGGGGTGCCGGTCGGTCCGGAGGCCGCGGCGGCCGCGGCTGCCGCCGCCGCCGCCGCCGCTGCCACCGCCGCCGCCGACACACCCTGCCCATGGTGGTGGGTAACATGGTGCCCCGCGGTGACATGGTGCCCTGCTGTGTGGTGCTCCAGGCGGAGGGGATCATGCCCGATGCCAGCCCCGAGGGAGGACATCCCCCCGGAAACGGGGCCGGACGCCGGCGGCAAGCTCAAATTACCCAGGGGAATGGAGGCCATGCCGGTGTTGGACATGCCGCCAGCATGAGAGAGCCCCGGCGAAATGTGCGCCCCGGCCCCGGTGGACATCGATTGCGGGAGATGGTGCGCCGTGTGGTGCGGAGTCGCATGATGGGTCGGGTGATGGTATGCCCCGGTGGAGCCACCGCCAGCAGCACCGCCATGGGGGAAGGAAAGGTGCGAGAAGGCCTGCGCCGCGTGGTGCATGGCGGCCGTGGCCGATGCCGCAGATCCCAGAGGCGAGGACCCGGCCGCGGCCAGGGAGGCAGCATGCGAAGCGGCCGCCGCGGCCGCGGCCGCCGCCGCCAAGTCCCCATGTGCCGGGCTCTGCCCGGCGTGGTGCAGCGTCCCGCCCGGCAGGGAAAGCCCACTGCTCAGGCCGGCCATCGGGCTCGCCACGGTGGTGCTGGTCCCCGAGGTGGTGGTGGTGGTGGCGGCGGTGGTGGTGGTGGCACCGCCGGCCGGGGTTGAGCTCGGCGAAGGGGCCGTCCCGCCGACACCGGCCGGTGCACCGGCAAACGCGTGCATGGCCATCGGCGGGAGGAGGGACGACGCCAGCACCGACCCGGGGAAGGTGTTGGCTGCCGCATGGGTGGAAAGGAGCCCGGCGGCGGTCGACTGCGCCGCCATGGCAGCCGACAGGGCAGCCATCGCCTGGTGCGTGTACATGTGGCTGCTGGAGGGGGAGCCGCTGGCGGCGGCTGCGGCCGCGGCCGCGGCCGCGGCGGTCTGTGCCTGATGCGCGGCCGCCAGGTGCGAATAGTGAGCCGGCGGGTGCCCGCCGAAGGGGACACCGGACATGTGCATGGCCGCGGCGGCGGCCGCCGTGGCCGAGGCCGTGAGCGGGTTCGGAGAGTGCGCATGCGCGTGCAATTGCTGGAAGGACTGCGACAGGCTGGCCCCCCCGTTGACGGGGTTGCTGTTGGCCAGGGCTTGGTAGTGAGCGGCGGCTGCCGCCGCTGCCGCCGTCGAAGTCCCCGGTGGCATGCCGGGATGCGTGCCGGGCGAGGGGGTGGCGGAACCGGTCATCCGGGAGGCAGGGAGAGGAGGGAGCGGTGCAGGGGGTAGGGGGAAAGAGGGGGGAGCCGGCCCCGGGCTCGGGTGGAGGGGACGGGCGCGGGAGGGGGGAGGAGAGGGAGGGAGGGGTATGCGACCCACACACCCACACACATACACACCCACACAGACGTGTAGAGAGTCGCAGGGGAGGGGGGGAGGAGGAGGGGGAGGAGGAGGGTCTGGAGAGCGAGGACACAGAGGGTGAGGTGGAGGGGGAGGAAGGGAGGAGAAGGATGGGGAGGAGCAGGGGCAAGAGAGGTGTGCGGGGAGTGTGTGCCCTCTCAGCGGCTGGCAGTCGCTCGGGTGGAGCTAGATGGCCGAAAAATGCCTCCCCCTCCCCTTCCCGCCCCCGGGTCAGACAGAGGCTTGCGCCGGGCAACGGTCCGGTGGCGGGCCGGGGGCCCGGGTGAAAAGAAGCAGGCAACTGCGAACGACATTATGGAACCAGGGAGGTGATAAGTCAGACAGCCCCCCAGCCACCACCCCCCCCCCCCCCCCCGGAGCCCAAGGGCCCGGGGACCAAAGAGTCCAAGAGAGACACCGAGAGCGGG